CTTCCATCAAATTGTCCACCAACAGGCAATATCTTTACATGTGCATACTTGGAAAACACATCGCTAGCTAACTGCATTCCGATATTTTTACATAAATGTCTGTAATCTTCAAAAATTATGAAAAACTCACCTTGTTTATCGTGTCACTCGTCATAGATGGGTGCTCACAACGAGGAACGGAAGTTGCTCACTACATTTTTACCGATGGACATTTTTCACTCGTTGTGAGTTAAACGGGCGTGCTGTTGGTGCCAGCTATAGGCCGGCCTTACTGTCTATCTGTACTAATAATATCTGTCATATTTTGCGGTTCGGATCGGAATATCCGTCCCGAGGTGACCCGCCCATTGGGCGGTAACGAGGCTTGCCGAGTTACCGCCCATGGGCGGGTGACCGAGGGATGGATATTCCAAACCGAACCGCAAACATATGTCAGATATTTTTTCTTGCATATTCTACCATTTTCCATTATATTTTAAATTCTTTATCTTTATTTTCAATGAAAATTTATATCATTACAAACCGTAACTACTTTCATTCAACAGCGTATGAATTACAAAATCATTCATAACGGTAAAATGACGTCATCTTTATCGTGCCATTGTACAGCACGCGACTCATCTGGAACCCCCCCATGCCAGATGAAATTTCCGGCATGGGTAAAACTAACGGAAACGCCAGTCTGATATGCAAGAATAGGGGCTCACGCACCCTAGTACACCATCCTCGTCGTCTCAGCCTACTTTGTAGGGCCACTCCCCTCGGCATTAGTCAGGACATCGGCAGCTGGTCCGCAGAAGTGACGAAGTAGGATTCCGTAGTTAACGCCCACGGTTGAATGCTACGTTAAAGTTGTCTACCAGCCAAGTTGAAAATCTTCTGCCGATGCCCTGTGCCTTCTCAGCGACGTGCACGCTCCGAGGGGAAGTGAGAAGAGGTTGTAACCACACTAGTGAAATTTTATATATGTATATAATTATGCTTCTAAAACAATTTTCAAACATCAAAGAATATGTAAAATATGTACTGCAAATATTTGTCCACATTATATTTAATCATTAAACTATATGCATCCATTTCTTTTTGAAAAAAAAAATGACTTAGACTTCATAGAAAATAAATTTCTTATAACCTCCCTTTATTAACATGAAATGTAAATTTGGTAATATCTTTACAAATAATGCTTAAATATTGATAAATCTTCATTTGAGCATTATATTTATGATATAAAACCATAAAAAATTACAGGATCTTTAAAAACGACATAGGCATTCTTTTTTTTCTAGCGCAATCAAAAACTGAGTTATAATGTCATAATTATATTATGTCCCAGATAAAAGGCATTTATAAGAATGATATAGCTTTCGTTCATTCTTGTATCTATTTATTGTAAATGCATTAATAACATGTATATAATGATGGATGGTGAAAGACTCAATATATGCTCTTTACAGTAGTCCATTACCAACATCATTTCATCGTTTAAGTTGCAATCCTTATAAAGTATAGGCCTGCGCACGTTGTGAGAACTTGTTTTTCATCCGAGCTTAATTATATATGTTTAAACTATTTCTCCACGTGCAGCTCTTTCTCAGAATATAGCCAGTGCTCACACAGAGTATGCATGGACAGAGTCTGCATGGATTCAAGGCTGCACCCACTTAAAATTTAATTGCTCCAAGTCAATTTCTCGTGTTTATTTTAAGTTATTAATTATCTTTCATCTGCACCAAAACTAAGACCACGTTGTAGACAATTAAGATTTCATTTTTAAGTTGTAAAAAGTTTTGCACCTAACATTATTAATTTACAAGACCGTCTTGGGTTTACTGATAAGCTCTGGAGGTATCACTATTACTGGCATATCATGGCCATCATTATGTTCAGTAAATGGTTGAAAGCCGTAACTATATATAAAAGAAGAAGAAGAAGAAGAAGTAGAAGAAGAAGAAGAAGAAGAAGAAGAAGAAGAAGAAGAAAAGAAGAGGAAGAAGAAGAAAAGAAGAAGAGAAGAAGAAGGAGAAGAAGAAGAAGAAGAAGAAAAGAAGAAGAAACAATGTTTAGGGATTATGATATAAGTCTGCAGGAATACATATATTTTTTTTAAATAAGATATTTAGAAAGTGAGATTTTTTAGAACTGTTCTGTCCCTTTAAAAGTGTTAAATAATGTCTTTATGTAATAAACTTCCATAAATTGGTTCGAAATAACCGGTACGTTACGATACCGAAATCAACTTGATTTCGGTAAAGTTACCGAAATCAACTTTTCATTACCGAAATCAACTTATAAAATCACAATTAAGCGTTTTATTATATTTTTTTCATTATAATATATTACAATAGGTTAAGTTTGACTTTCATGCAAAAAATCAGTTCGAAATAATCATTAATAATGATATTAGAAACAAATAACTAAATATCAAGATTATTCCATAATTTGTCACGAACCGAAATATATGTTACAATACCGAAAATCGACTTGTTAAATCACACTTAAGCGTTCTTATTTATAATTTTTTCATTATAATCTATTACAATAGGTTTAGTTTGACTTTCATGCAAAAAATCAGTTCGAAATAATTAATAATTATGAAATTAGAAACAAATACCTATATATCAAGATTACTTCGAACCGAAATATATGTTACCATACCGAAATCGGCTTGTAAAAGTTAAAATAAACATTTTCATATAGATCTTGTTTAATTAATTAATATAAAATCAATCAAATCAGATTTCATTTCAAAGATGAGAACAACACCTAAAATATTTGCATGAATTTCAGAAGTCTATGAAAAAGGTATTTGAGTGAGTTTTAAACTTTGAATTCATATCGCTTATTTTCAATGTTTAGTCAGATAACATTGCAGCGTATCATCTCTTTGATGTTTCTTATAATGATTTCAAAATACAAGATTAAACAAAACTGTGTTTGAAGTTATCCGCCTAATTTAGATCACTATTATAATAGTTGATTGGAAATTATCACAGTATTTAATTTAAATCCAATAATTATGATTTGATTAAAATAAAAAGACGTAGCGGTAGCCATTCATCATAACACCTTTACTAATAAGGAGCAAGCATACACGTGCTCGGACAATGGAGGTGTTAGTTGACATAACATACTTGTTAACCGCAATCTTTTAATATACATCGGCGCATGGAAACTTTAAAGTATCCAAACAACATAATTAGACATAATTTTTTTACATGAAATTAAAGCTGCTTGTCTCCATTAAGACAAAAAATACATTAATATAAAATGACGTATAGCGACCATCCCTATATAATATTTATCAAAAGACTTTTTTTATAGTTCTATATTATAAATATTTCAGATCTATTAAGCTGGTAAAAATATAATTTTATATTAAATAAATTGTCAAAAGACCTGTTTTAACTAATTTGTAGGGGTGGTCGCTAAACGTTTCCGTAGAAAACATTTCGGTATATGAGACAAGGTGCTTTGATATTATTATTACCAAATTGCCTATCAGTTGTTCCAAAAATGTATGCAATTTTTTGATGTCCCGGATACTTAACTACATATTCTACTTATTGAAAAAGTGTTAAGTCATGATTTTATGTTGATCGATTTAAAATCATTTTAAATTTCATATCTGTAAACAGCATAAATTTATGGAATGACTGGTATATATTTATATGATGAAAAAAAAATGGAACACTTTATACTGACAAATTTCAATTATGAAATGTTGTAACTTGTACGATATGACATGCTGTGTATTACTGTATTAAGTAAGGTGTGAAGTAATTAAGACAGGAGGTACAGTTGACATACAATGTATGTTAAAGATAAAAGATTATAATGAACCATCTGTTTATTTCGTATTAAACATTTAAATAAATGACTAAAATAAGTTTAACTGTTCAATAAAAGAAAGACACAAACTTTCCAATTTTACTGCCTGATACATTATACAATTTTTATGGAACATTTTCAGAGCAGTCGAATTATATATCTGTATTCAAATTTATAATAGAAAATCATAAACTTCTGGTTGAAGTTGGATATTTTTTCTTCATAAAACATAAACATGTACAAAATTTATAATTATCTTTAACTCATATTACAGAGTATTTTATTTTTCCATCATAGTCCGATCATAGCTTTTTAAAAATACGATTTGATTAGAAAATTGTTATGCACGACAATCACGTGCAGATATATAACATGCTAATATGGCGGAATCAGACTTTTTCTTAAATCATTATATACATTGCATTCTAATATGAAATGGTATTCGTCTTCTAAGACATTACATGAAAAACATTTTCTATCATTTAAAGGTGTACTATTTGGTTTAGTCCATCTACCTGAGTCAATGTGCAATCTATGTGATAATACTCTTAACCTAGTGAGATCTTTACAAAACCGTTCAAACATTGATAATATTTAGATATGGTTGAAACTTAAAAACAGAAATATGTCTATAAAATAGAGCTCTACTAGAGTTATCTAATCTATTATCTACTAATTATATACATAATTTAAACTTCACCGCTGATTTCGGTAATGCTAAACACATAACGGGTTGTTTAGAACAAAGGCTAGTAACTCAATAATTACATTTTTGTTAATAACACCATTAAAATAAAATATTTTCAATAGATTTTTTAACTGAAAGTCTATTTCACTATTTTTCATCAAATAATGAAGAAATAATAGCAATATTTTAACTAGGTTGGTTTTTACGAGTTGATTTCGGTAATGCTAAACACATAACGGGTTGTTTAGAACAAAGGGAAGTAACTCAATAATTACATTTTTGTTAATAACATCATTAAAATAAAATATTTTCAGTAGATTTTTTAACTGAAAGTCTATTTCACTATTTTTCATCAAATAATGAAGAAATAATAGCAATATTTTAACTAGGTTGGTTTTTACGAGTTGATTTCGGTAATGAAAAGTTGATTTCGGTAACTTTACCGAAATCAAGTTGATTTCGGTATCGTAACGTACCCCGAAATAACTAAGTGCGAATAGAAATGATTAGAACGAGTAACTTCCCTTTAAAGAAATGGCGGAGAAAGAGGCCGCGCGGCGGCGAAGATAATTAATTATGTTTGTAAGTCGATCAAGTAGTTTTACGTTTTCTGATTTAGCCATGACGTTTCTTTTAATTCTCTTACAGATCTGCTTTCTTTTCAGATAGTAACATGTTCTTCTTATCTCGTTTTATGAAATCCAAATGATGATTTTTTTCAGAAATGCCAAGGGAGTTAATTATGGTTTCATAAAATTCAAATTTCCATTGTTCCCTTACTCCGAAAGACCTGTGACAGGATTTTTGTCTGTTAGCCTCTCACTCTTTGCACTAACTATAATTTTACACCCCTTGCACTTTGCAGTCTTCCTTGAACCTTCCTCAGTTATATTGAAAATATCCAAATGGAGTCCTTGGGTTCCATTTTGATAGAGAATGAAAATTTCCAGTTACTCCAGACAGTCACTTTTTCTTGTTTGTTTGACTGAACCTTTACTTGCTTTCCTTGTAAAAACTTTTCACACTCGTATTAGCTCAAATTTAACCAATTATCACTTCAAGTTACTTGTTAACACCTTTCTTTGTAAGAAAATGCATAGATCTCTAAATGGACTTTACATTCAACACAGGGTTGTAATAGAATGCAAAATGGACTCCATTTCGCGAAATGAACTTACCGCCTACGAAATGGACATTTGTTTGTTTAACCATGATGAGTAATATTATTTTTATTAATTTATGTTTAACATATGACATAAAACTACAGATTGAACCAATTAAAATTACTATTTTCCTATGTTATAGTAATATTTCTGAAAATAATCTGGCCTCTACGAAATGGAGTTTTCGGCCACGAAATGGAGTTTTCGCTTACGGAATGGACATTTGCTTTACAAATTATGGTGTAACTGACATGTCACAAAGGGTATCTTTTCTATTCACTTACGTTATTTCTGGGACGACAAAAATATTTTTGTCCCAGGTTAAACATATGATCTAATATAAAATAGAATCTTTCTATTTGAAAGACCATGTATAAAACACTGAACTATGTGGCATTATTATACGATTATTTTCAAATGTAAAAGCATAAATAATGAAAAAAATATTAACAAAATTGTTTAAATCGTAATTTTATGTCATATATCACTTGTTCATTATTAAAAATGATATTAAATAGTACACTTAAACCAAAATTAAAGAGACAAATGTCCATTTCGTAGTCGAAAAGTTCATTTCGCGAAATGGAGTCCATTTCGCATTCTATTACTACCGATTCAACACATAACATATCAGGGATAAATCTAACCATTTATGCTTGGCGGCCACTTGGACCACTGACTTTAAAATTTTGGTGGCCCAGTAATGAAGCCTTTGAATGGCAAGAAGTTAATACTTTTTGTAAGGGTGCCGTGCAAAATACTAGCTGCTAGTGCACTAAGACCATGCCTCATAATTCAAAATATGAGAAAGATTTACTTTTAGATTTTTATTTTATATAAGATAGAGACTGGAGAACACTAAAACCTCGGCTTACAATGGAAATTATTGCTCTGGAACTTACTAACTTTTCTAGAATTTGTTTGGTATGAAATGAACGCTAAACGTTAAATACGCTATTTAATATAATAACAAGTCATATTCACTTTTCCTTCAACGATTCAAAATTTTGCAGGGTGTTCAGTAGACTGAAACTCGAGGGTCAATGATCAGCCGCACAAAATTTTGAAGGATCAAACCCAAATATTCAAGGGTGACCATATATTACAGGAATTATCTCGTGCTCTGTTTTACTAGTGAAACTTGAAAAATGGTTTCAAAAGAATTGAATTGAATTTTGATTATTTTCTGCTAGAAATTTCACTCGTCCTGCAGGAGATTTACTCATCCGGATTCAATTTTTACTCATATTTACGAGGGGACGAGTTGATTTGTTGAGCCCTGGTTCTTTTTGTTGAGAAGAATATCCTAAGTAAAACAGGCTGTTTTGAGCTATAATGAATTGCTAGCCAACAGCACATGGACCACCTAGAATGTTTGGACTCGACGTTGTAAACGCTAAATAAACATCTATTCAAATATGCTGAGAATCTTGAACAATAATCATTATCAAAACAGTTGCATAATTATTGGAAACATTGTTTTCTGTTTTAATCTGAAAAAATTAAAGATTTTATAAAACTGAAAGAAAGCATCAATTATTATGCCCCCACTTCAAAGAAGAGGGGGTATATTGCTTTGCATTTGTCGGTCCGTCGGTCCAAATGGTTTCCAAGTGATAACTAAAGAACGGTTTGGCCTAGGAACTTCAAACTTGGTATGTTGATTGGTCATGACCAGCAGATGACCCCTATTGATTTTGGCGTCAAAGGTCAAGGTCACCAGTGTCTATTCTAGGATTTCAAAATTTGGGGTGATTTTCCCCCCTCTATTTCAAAAAAGGGGGCGATTTTCAAAATCAAGGGGTGCCAATATAAACTGACAATGTTAAATCGTCTGCATAAAGGTTAAACTGAGGCGTTCAACCGATTAAATAATTAAAACTAAGGCAGCAGAAGTTGTCCCCCCTTAATTTTTTTTACGAAAACAAATCATTATAGAACTGTCGCGATTGATTATTAAGGGATTGAAATTACAAACAATAGACCTACAGGGCTCGACACTAACGATGGTCCGTTAGCCCGAGGCTACCAATTTTCCCCAAGGACTACCCGAGTTTCCAAGCTGGGTATCCCGTCGGGCTACTCAAAATTTCAGTGACCTGATGTCTCTAAATTCACTAAAAATAATTAATAAAATAACATTTTTTTAGGCTATGATTCAAAACGAAAGATAAATATATCTTACTAGTAAATAATTAGCCGTTGGGTCACTAATGATTGTAAACATTAAGCGCACGACATGTCTTCAGGCACTGAGGTATAATTGCGTCATCTGTTAATCTCTCGACATCCCTTAATAAATCAATATCATTATTAAATAAACAAACCAATTTTATCTATCCAAGCATGTCGCATACTTTCTCAATAAACCTGTCAATCAGTGTCAGTCATAGCAGACGCATAATAGATTCTATTTAATCTCTATAAACTTGCAAAAAAATGAAACCGGAAGTCCAACTTAATTGCCGATTTTTCCAGCATACTTCAATAGAATTCTTTGTCTATTAAACATTTCAATGAAAATATTTGCTCATATTGGAACCTATTCAAGGGTTTAAACTTAAAAGAATATGATTTGATGATTGATGTAATTCACACTGACAATGATAACCAAAATAAACGTGTTGTCTGAAATAGATCTAATTTCGGATGTAATTTATTCGGACATGAAATTATTGATTGGGAAAAAATCTCTTTATAAAAAAAGAGAAGAAAAATGTTTAAAACTCTTTAAAAAAGAGAAAAGAAATATTCTAAAGTATTTGTAATTGTCTTTGCCATAACTTAATTCACAATGTTGTAAGCACTTCTCAACCATGTAAAAGGAAATATAAGCAATAATGCCAATACATGTATATGAATAAAAAAAAGTTAACAAATACTTATACCCTAGGCATAAAAAACTAAGGCAATATAGTTTGATTAAAAATGGCTTTACATTTCTAATTTCGTGTTTAAATCAGGGACAACAGATATTAATCCAATGTCCCTATTTAAATCTCCTGCCAGTTAAATAACTGAATTACTAGCACTAGTAAAAGTTTGTTATTCTGATATTTTGTTGGTTTATGTCTGACAAAATAAGTTTGTAGAATAAATCAATTAGAGTAAAGACAAACATTTTTTGTTCTTGTCCAAGCTTTTTACTTATGTTTTGAATTTAAAAACACATCTAAAAGGTCAAACATTATCTATACCTGAAAGTAGATTTGTAAGCTCTATTGAAATATTTTTTTTAATACAAAAGCCAGGTAGTACATAAATTTAAAACTGACAGATACTTATTTAGCTCATATTGCCAATATATTCTCCCCTTCCCTATGAGCTGTCAATAATATAAACTGAGCTGATTGCCTAGCAATTTTATTTGCAACACACTAGTAATTTCTGGCTAGAACCCTGTACCTGTAGGTAATGTCTGGCCTTTCAAAACCTTATGACTTTTGTGTGTCACACTGCCATATTTTATAACAAAAATATGTAAAAAAATTGTTGATGATGACTTTGAAGAGCTCAGAGGCTAGCCGGAACCTACATCTCATGCAAAATTAATATCTCATGCTACTGTTTTCTTATCTTTAGATATATACACTCAAAATGCATTTAAATATAATAAGAAATATTTTTTTATGTTTTACAATGAGGACTACCTAGATTTGCCAAGGACTACCTGATCCTCAAAGTAGGTAGTCCTTCTGACTACCCCTAAAAAAAGTTATTGTCAAGCCCTGACCTATCTTTCACGTCTAGATTGTAGCCATGCTAGGAATTGCCTCATTTTTCTTGAATATTTACTACACAAAAATGGCGATCAACTGTCAGACCTAGAACACTAGTTCCGGTCGGTACGGAACATTCCGTGAATTTCCGTCAACTCACGTAACCCGTACCATACGGTACTAAATTATTATAATGAGCTTACAGTTACTTCCCTTCGGTTTCCGGTGTAAATGTAAACAAAACAACCAAATATAATGCAGGATGGAAGTTTAACGATTTTATAAACTTTTTTTATAGATGCGCGATTTTCACGCACATGATTTTGAATTTCAGCGATCTGTGAAATACTAGCGTGAATCGCGCAATCACGCGTCCTAGAATAGACACTGGGTCACATTGACCATGTAGGTAAAAACGGTTTCCGATCAATAACTAAAGAACGCTTAGGCCTAGGAACTTCAAACTTGGTATGGTGATTGGTCATGACCATCAGATGACCCCTATTGATATTGGGGTCAAGGGGTCAAAGGTCAAGGTCACATTGACCATGTAGGTAAAAACGGTTGCCGATCAATAACTAAAGAACGCTTAGGCCTAGGAACTTCAAACTTGGTATGGTGATTGGTCATGACCAGTAGATGACCCCTATTGATTTTGGGGTCAAGGGGTCAATGTAATATTGATCTTGTACTTAATGCGGTTTCTGATCAATAACTCAACAACTCAAGTTGCCTTGGTTGATATTTTTAAATTAAACTAAAAATGCTTTTGGTATACACATTTGAAGATCTTATGTAATATAACAACTTGGCTGTCATTAATGAGGCCTCCATGATTCATAAAATTTATGCATATATTATTTGGTAAGATTTGTAATAACTTAAATTGCTGCACACAACCTATGGGGTCACAATATTTATTACCTTGTGACTAGTCATGACCAGTAGATACTAGATAACCCTTATTAATTGTTTGCACACTGGGTCAGAAGTCATGCATAATAACCTGACCACATGACTAATTGGCTGCCGATAGGGGGCATACAATTACATGTTTTACAAACATATCTTGTTAATGGTAGGCTTAAATAAAGATACTTTAAAAAGTCCCAGTGATTTTTTTGGGCTTATTTTATAGCTGTTATTGGGTCATATTCCCAATTGAAAATAGTATATTGTTTTCCCAATTCACAGGAAAAAATTCCCAATTGAAAGTTACAAAATAAACATTTAATAAAAATTAAAAAATCTTTGGTTCACTGTAATAGTGCTTAAATCTTTGAAGATTCCATCATAGACAGTAATTGTTTGCATACATTTAATCACTGCAAAATTTCAGTCACGCATTTTTTCCCAATTGTTAACAAAACACAGCTGAAATTCTCAATTCCTTGGGTATGGGTCATGTTCCCAAAATCCTGGAAATAATCTCTGAAGTCCATTCCTACTTACCAGTGAAATTACAAATACCGCAGTTCAATCTTCATATGAAAGTGTGATAAAACGGCATGGATGATCACCTAACTTTGTCTGTAGCATTCTTGTGGTAGTCTTTTATCAAGTTTGCTCATATTAATTTGATTGGAGGGGTTGCTAAAGCTAAAAATAGAAATACCTATAAACAGTGATTTTTTTCCCAATTTTCAAAACAACCTGTGGCTTTCTGAAGGGGAAATTATAGCGCGATAAATCAGAAATGGGGAAAATCAAATTCCAACAAGTGAGAATGGAATTTACCCACACATTCAATAAAATTTTCAATTTCAATTCAATTTAACATGCATGGTACAAATCAGAGGCTAAAGGGACAGCTTTCTGTCTTCTAGCTGATATAATAAGTCAGATGCTGTTGAGTCATGTTTCTGGTGAAAAAGTGCACAGGGCATTTCAGGGGAAAAATTGGCTTTTTTAAGGGAAAATATACCTATTTTGAGCTAGGGGAAACAGCCTTTATTCGGCTGTAAAATACAGGGAAAAAAATCACTGATAAACGTCTATTTCTACAGAACTAATTGATGGATGATCACCAAACTTTGTCTCTAGCATTCTTAGGTACTCTTTTATCAAGTTTGACTTGCTCATATTAATTTGATTAGCCCCTTTTAGGAGCCACTAAAGCCAAAAATAGAAAAACCTTTGAACATCATTTCCTACTGAAATAATTGATTGATGGTCACCAAACTTTGTAGCATTCTTAGGTAGTCTTTTAGCAAGTTTGCTCATATTAATTTGATTGGCCTCGTTTAAGCTAAAGCTTAAATGCCCCAGGTATTGGCATTGTTTCAAATTATTGTTTAAACATATTCTATGCCCAAATTTAATATTAGAAAATATTGACAATGGATAATTAAGCAGTTGTTTCTGGTGAGCGACTCAGGACCATCGTGCCCCTCTTGTTCAGTTTTAGGTTTGATCACTAACAAACTTTTCTCTAATTTCAGGTGGATTGACACAACTTTCATTACAATTTCTGTTAACAAGTTACCAATTTAAGAAGTGACACAACAATTCAACTCATTAAAAGACACAATCAAATTATATTTCCATACTGTTATCATAAACTAGTGACCTGATAGTTTTCTGAACTCTAAAAAGTGACACAATCCAGACGAAGATGACTGCTCCAGATTTAGACGTTATCAAAGACATTCCTGGCTACAAAGTTATCCTGAAAGCAGTTGTGAAAAATCAAATACAGCAGTTGGTAAGTAGTGTGTATTCACTATAATTTCAATACCCCTTTAAAAAAATTTCAAATTTTGCGCAAATATTCAATTGTCTGAACAAGGTGATGTGCAGAACCCATGTCACCTCTGTGTCGAATCAAGGTCACGCTTTAAGGCAATATGTCAGACAATTATGTGTAAATCTTGTAGTTGTACACCTTCAAGGAATTTCTTCAAACTTGGCTCAAATAATAAACTCAAAAAGGTGTTGTGCCGAATCATTGACGCCATGCAGGCTGACAGTCAAGGTCCCTTTGAAAGATCTCATAATAAACAAATGTTTGGAAATCTCTCATTGACAGATTCTTTTGTTATTTAACTCAAAATTAAATCAAATTAACATTACATCAGTTAAAATATATAATGGCACACAATTACATTTCATATAAATTTGCATATTATATGCACTTTAGTGCCAATTATTAAGAAATTAAAAAAGGTACATGTTTGGATATGTGATAAAAGCTTATATTTTATGAGTTTTGGTTTATCATGTTTCAGGTGGAACAACTAGCTGCCCACACTGATGAAGAATCCATCATTCTAACAGCAAGTGTTGCTGACGGGACACTCAGTCATATAGGGTCAGAGTCGGGCAAGTCTTTCCTGGAAGATAATGAAGATGTTAAATCGCAATTCCTTGGTTTCTGTCTCAAATGTAAGTAGAAATGGGGACCTAAGACTTTAGTCTTATGTGAGGAAGCTATCCAGCTAGCTAGGATTCGTTTTTTGAAGGAATATGATATCTAAAGAATCAGGATTTTTTTCTAGCTTACCTGAGCTTGCTCAGGGTGAGCTCTTAGGATCGTTGATTGTCAGTCATCCGTCCACATTTGTTCGTTAATACTCTAGTGGTCACATTTTTGCCACAATCATTATCAAACTTGGTCAAGATGCTTGTCTAGGTAATTTCTCGGATGAGTTCGAACATGGGTCATCTCGGTCACAGGAGCTAGAAAAAGAAAAATCTTAACACTCTAGTGGCTACTGTGTTGATAAAAATATCCTGGAAATTGGTCTGAAAGTTTGTTTTGCTGATCTAGGTCAAGTACAAATATGGGTGACCTGGAGTCAAAAATTAGGTCACAACGCCCAAATATGAAAAAAAAACAAAACCTTGTGAACACTTTGGTGGTCACATTTTTGACACAATTGTCATCAAACTTCGTCAGGATGCTTGTCTTGCTAAAAATATAGAAAAATCTTGTTAACACTCTAGTGGCTACTGTTTGGATCCAAGTATCCTGGAAATTGGTCTGATAGTTTGTTTTGATACTTTCTAGGTCAAGTTTGAATATGGGTCACCTGGGGTCAAAAACTAGGTCACACTGCCCAAATATTGAAAAACCTTGTTGAACACTCTAGTGGTCACATTTTTAGCTCGACTTTTCTATGAAAAGGGGAGCTATCCTACTCGCCCCGGCGTCGGCGTTAGCGTCGGCGTTGGCGTCACACCTTGGTTAAGTTTTTCGTACCACCCCACTTTATTTCAGAAGTATTACAAGTATGGCTTTGAAACTTACCATACTTGTTCACCATCATAACCTCCATCTACAGACAAGAGTACATAACTCTGTCAAGGTTTTTGACAGAATTATGGCCCTTTTTTGACTTAGAAAGTGTATTGAGCTTGGTTAAGTTTTTTGTACCACCTCACTTTATTTTAAAACCATTGGAGGTATTGCTTTGAAACTGACCATACTTGTTTACCATCACGACCTTCATCAACAGACAAGAGGACATAACTCTGTCAAGGTTTTTGACAGAATTATGCCCCTTTTTGACTTAGAAAATACATTGAATATGGGTAAAATCCACTTATTGCCTTAACCCTTTGAGATATTGCTTTGAAACTTTTAATGCTATTTCACATCATTACCCCCATCTGTACGCAAGAGAAGGTAACTCTGTCAAGGATTTGTTTTAAAAAATTAAGGCCTTTTATCGACTTAGAATCTTGGTTAAGTTTTTAGTACCAGTCCACTTTTTGACTGAACTGTTTGAGATATTAATTTGAAAGTTGGAATACTTGTTTACAATCATGATTCCCAAACATGTCCAGGAGAAGGTAATTCTGTCAAAGATTTTATTTGAATTATGGCCCTTAACTGTCAATGTTTTGTATTATAGGCAAGCACTAAAAAACTTAAAAAATCTAAAAAATTCATTCCTATCCACTTGTTCACTTTACCATAAATTATGTCATATAAACATTGCTGTAATATTCAAGGGTATCAAAAATACAAGTACAAAAATATACTGCTTCCTTGGCATAGATTTCTTGAAAAATTATGTTATTATGTCATTTACCAAGGTGTTCTGAGTGACGTAAAAATACCTTATTCTCTCAAAGTGGGTTTAATACTATTAAATTTATTTAAGGCTCAACTCAGTTTTTTTTTCTTTCTTACCAGCCCTCTTTTGACTTAAACATTTCAAACTTTGCTGCAGTGTTCAAGGGTATCACACAATTCAGTAAAATAATTCTTCACTAAATATCTTAATGCTCATGGCCATTGTTCACTTTAAAAATACAGAGATTCTTGTATTGCCTTTTACTGCAAAAACTTTTTTTATTGGCAAGCAATAAAAAAGTCGAGCGCGCTGTCTTACGGACAGCTCTTGTTAACTCAATTGTCATCAGACTTGATCAGGATGATTGTCTAGGTAATTGCTTGGATGAACATGGGTCATTTTTGATGAGAAACTAGGTCACAGGAGCTAAAAGTAGAAAAGTCTTGTTCGCACTTTAGTGGCTACTGTTTTGATCCAAATATCCTGGAAATTGGTCTGAAAGTTTGTTTTGATGATTTCTAGGTAAAGTTTAAATATTGCTCACTTGGGGTCAAAAACTTGGTCACACTGCCCAAATATGGAAAAACCTTGTTAACACTATAGTGACCACATTTTTTGACTCAACTGTCATGAAACTTGGTTAGGATGCTTGTCCCAGTAATTGCTCGTGTGATTTTGATGGGTCAGGTGAGCGATCTAGGGCCATCTTGGCCATTTTGTTTCGTTTGGGATGGGTCAGACCCAAACAAAGAAAAAAATTGCTGGGCACCCTAGGTCTTGCTTCACCAGTAAAGTTGGAAAGTCACCATTTGACCTTTAGACTTTTAATATGGCACATAAAGAAAAGAAAATTGTAATTGGTAATTTTGGAGTCAGGCCACCAAATTAATGACCATTGTATTAATCAACAAAACTAATAATATATACATATATCAATACTTCTTCAAACTTAACCTCTGTATAATATCTACACATTTTTAATAAATAGTGCCTTCCATGTAATGTCTTGCTTGTTTACCAATCTCAAATTTTACATGTATTTAGAAATATAGAAATCTTTCTCAGTAACATATATATAACAAGGATTTTCAGATTTTAACTTAGATTTAGTTATTGATATGTTTGTTTTTTCAGATCATCACAAAAAGAAACAACAGGAGAAAGAAAAAGAAAGGTTGTTACAGGAACAGCAACAGTTGCAACTTCAGCAACAGCAATTGCAACAACAACAACTCCAACAAATGATGTCACCAACTCGGTTTAGTGGAGGACCGAGATTCATGCCTACACGTTCACCCAGACAGTATTCTCCAAGATTCTCATCCAGATCACCAGGTGTACGTCATGAACCTTACTCGACCCGCCCACCGCGTCGTCCATTAAACCTTGACCAAGGTTCAGGTGCTAATAAAAACACTGGTGCAATGAGACTTCCTGTAGGAAACGATGGTCAAGTTATAAAAATTGAACCAGAAGATGACGAATCATCAAATCAAAGTGCGACTGACACTTCAAATATTGCTTCCGGTGCAACTGGCACCGGGCAACCATCTGCATCCCCTCATTCCTCTGCACCATCTACGCCAGCAAATGTAAAACAAGAGTCTGGAGATCGTGATGACGATGATAATAGATCTGAGTCATCAGCAACTGGAACAACACCTCAGCCGTCTAATGAAGGACTTAATTTGCAGTCAGATCTCTCAGACTTGATCTCTAGTGGTGGTGATAATTCTAATTTAGACAAAGCAGGGACCTCCACTGGTGCAGAGGGAACTGATGCAGATATTAATATTAAACTAGAAGCTATTAGTGAAAATGATATGGAATTAGAAATAACTGGTGTTGAACCTGGACGACCAGCTGTGCCTCAATACGATGTTTCCATGGGGATGCAGTTTGATCCCTCGACCTCTGGAATAGATAGTCAATCTCAGCAAGGCTACAGTAAGTGATTATTACCTATAAAATTATCACCAACTATCTCCTTATACTGAACATGCAGGTCTTGTCAGTAAACGTTTACTTCATACTTCAAAACAGTTCTCTGCCTCTATGAGTATATTACAATCGCAGCTTTTGTATGCGCATTCCTGTGAAATGATAATTGATAACATTGATAGATTCTAAGTAGAAAACAAAATTTGGTTATTTCTAATAAACAATGAAATGGAATAAAGCGGACCAAATAGCTTGTTTCAAAGTTGATTAAACCAGATAAAACATGGTATATAGCAGATGTTTTTAAATGAAATTGTGAAGATTTTTAAAGTATTTTTATAGCCAGTTAAAGATGTAAGAGTTTTCAGCATTAAAGTACTCTTGAATGATATAAAAGCATTTTCATTTTGCACCTAAATTGGCATTAAATTCTGCTGTAGCCTACAATTGGACCAGGCTCTAGGGCTTACAGACAGTACGGAAAATCAGATTTATCAAGATAACCCTTGTCATCTTGTGTGCTTATGATTCTGACTTATAAATGCTTTTGTGGATTTGAACCCAACATAAGAAACTTGATTATTTGAATGGGGAAGATTACTTCTTTACTAGCTTGTAAACTTATTAAAGAAAGGTCATAGTTTATACCTCATTACCTGGCGAGCCATTAAGTTTGTCTGAAATGATGCATCAACATGTATTTACATTCTGCAGTTTTTGTCGTCTTCTGGTACCAGTGAAATTAGCACTAGCCTGACAGAAAAAAGGTTTTCTATTGGAGTACAATTTACAGTGAATGTTGCTAAGTTACTAGCCTGACTAGCTTGTCAGTCCTAATTTTTAGCTCGACTTTTTAAAGAATAGGGAGAGCTATTGTACTCACCCCAGCATTAACATCGCAGTCACACTTTGGTCAAGTTTATGCATTAAGTTACTTCTGAAAGTAGTTGGTTTGGACAGGTCCTGTAACTCTGAGTTACCTTCTAACAGAGCTATGCTCCAATTCTTAAGCCTTTCCTTACGAACAGTAACTGGTTATGACATACTACTACTAATAAAGTCTTAAATAGTACCACTTAAATTTGTTACATAATTATAATACACTGAAAATATCACAGAATGAAATATATTTGTCCAACTGTTTAAATCAAAACTCCATTCTGTTTATACATGAAGTAAACTTTATTGTTGATCTGTATGGGAATGTAAAGGAGATAGTTAACAGAAAACAATCTTGGTTGGTAGTTTCTGATAAATGTACTCAAATATAGAAGGGCTGTTCTTCAGGAGATGCTTTTATTGAATTTACATATCTCATATATATGAATTTTTTCTTATTGACCACTGATTATACAAATTTATGCAAGTTATAACTTGATTTCTTCTTAAAGAAATAAAAATGTTCTTTTATTTGACCTAGAAATTGATTTGTGTCCGAACATTTACATTTTAGTATTGACATACAATGCTTATAGCCCTTGATTCTTCGTGATCTGTATGGAGAATAGATTTCTGGATAGTATTTTCTTGAAAAAGCTAATTGTGAAAATACTATGTGGACCGTCTTATGTATTGGTTTTCTGCCCCACACAGATCACAAAAAAGTCATGTGATTAAGCTCTAGTCTAAGATAGTTTGCTTTTAAAGAATGACAAATTTTAATGAGTAACATGTATTTTATGGCACTTAGTATAAATTTTGTATTGGTCAGTGGTCAATTTGCCTGTACACAAAATCATTTTTGTGGGGACATCCTAGAACCAATAGTTAGGGCAAACAGTATATACATGTGTTGCTCACTATGATGATGTGGAGAGGTGATGTAGATTATTTACTTACATCGTGTAGCAGAAGGTAGGTGTCTTATAATTAGCATGGCTTTTGTTTTCAATTCTTTGAGCTCTTATTATAAGTTATATTCTCCCCTATTAATATTTGAATGTGTAATCTATTTATATAGATACTCTATTCCCATCATGTTACAGTATTCAGACTTGGTTTACCATTAAATTGGGCAAAAAAAGAATGGTAATTAATGTTGTGAAAATTACTTTTATTAAGGTCTACAATGAACCACTGTAGACACTGTTTGCAACTTGGTGTCTAGACATGTACATTGTATGACTCACTCACCATTTTCTGGGGAACAGCTCTTCTTTCTTTGATACATACGCATGATACTGAACATTTTCAAGATGTACACATTAAAAAAACAACAACTAAGTTTTTGCAAACTAAAATTCAAAGTAACAAGTATTGTTACAATTTGTACTAAACTAAAAGCTCACTGCAGACATTTTTTGCTACAAAATACAATGTTATATAAAGTTTGGTTGTGAATATATGTATAGAAACTACTGTACTGGAGATTGTTTTCTGTTGCTATGAAGAATCAGTTATGTGATAAGCAGGCAAAGATCATCATCTGATTGAGTACTGTATATAATATTGTTCTTTAGATTGTTACAATGAATGTGGCCCCAACCAAAAATATTGGTTTTATGCTTGAAAAAACAGGAAGATAAATTATTTGACTCAAAATTCAACGGATTTGCAAAGACAAATTATTTGACTCGAAATTTCAACTGATTTGCAATTGTTAGCACTTAATAATATAATATTTTTAGCTAAGAAAAATGTGTATACTTGATGAAGAGTTACAGTATATATGTAATGTAGATGATCAAGGCTGTACAAAACTGATTCTTCAATATTGACAAGTTTTGTCAAGTTTTGCTTATTTATACCAATGTTGTATTCCATCACACTTTTGACCACTTGCTATTGCTTTGTCTGAAAGAATGCTGCTTTGTTAGAATGATAAATATTTGTTTAATGTCAGGGTTGGCAAAATGTGATTTGACTAAATTGTCCCGTCCGCATCACTCACTTAGGATTATCCAGAAATTTCCAAATAAGTATTTTAATTAACTTATAGGGATTAAGGGGTCCTCAGGTAAGGGAATTTCTGGCTGTTTTGTCCGTTTCAAAGAAAAGGTTGAGCTATTATGGTCACTGCGGGGTTGTCATTGTGCAAAAACTTCAATGTAGCCTATTATTCAAACATTTTGTAAGTCATCAACATAATTTAATAATAGTTGTTAAACATGTGGCCTAACTCTGAAAGGAATATTTTTGGAGTTATGCCCCTTTTCAACTTAGAATATCTGACAAATATCTGACAGAAGAGTGTTAACACCGCAGGCGGTAGGTGCTCTTTGTATTGTCTGTCTTTCTAGTAATTGATAATAAACTGGTCAAAATTCCAAAAAATCATTTATTGCTTGGGTGATAGGAAAGTGACAAAAGTTTTCAAAAGTAGTAGTCACATGATGATGGAATACAACATGACTGAATGCTATCTATGTATAATTATGACAATTATTCTATGCTTTAGTCCTTTCTTGATGAATTTAAATATGTTATTTACATGTAAAACAACATTTTACATCTAATATTTAGTCCTTGTGAAGTTATGGCCAACTGTTAATGTTTATGTCTTTGAGAATATAACAAGTGTTTAGCCATTTAATGAAGGAAGATTCTGTGATTGATAGGTTAGTGGCTTTCCTCTTACATGTAACCCCTGTAAGACTTCTCAATCTTTCAGCAGCTTGTATAAATTCACCATTCTTACAATTTAGAAAATGTCCATGACTATTTTGAGTTTAATCTTTTTTTATAAGTACTGAGAGAAGGTGATCTGATTTTAAAAGTGAGCACAAGAGCAGGTTTAGAGACTTATCATGATACGGTGTCTGTTGTCATTGATTATGATCCACTCCTCTGGAAAATCTCTCAGTTTGAAAAATTTGCTGTTCTATGATCCGCTTTCAAATTTGTGTCATATGACTGTCATGGCCTGTCTGTTTAAGAAAGTTAGAAAACCCTTTGAACTCTTTTAGAAGTTTCAGCCCATGTGGATTGCCTGTATTTCCTACAGATTTGATAAAGGCATCTGAAAAATGCATCATACGGGTCAATACCTATATTCTTTGAAAATCGGCAAAAAATTGGAAATTAGCCATTTTCATCTAATAGTTTATAATGTGACTTCAGCTCAGTTATTTGTTAGTTAGTTATATTTTAAGTGGCCAACTACAATATACCATTTGTTCTGTATTTTGAGAGTAAATAAATTGTCTCTATGGCCAGTGATGCTCTTGGATGCCACTTGAATATATGGTTGCTCAGAGGTTAAGATTGATATTCTGGTGAACAGACAGACACTCACGGATCTTACCTTTATTGTCGCTATTCCTGGAAGGAATCATATACAATTAACAAGCTTTGACCATTTCTACGGGTCCATACACCACCTGCCTTTAGTCAATCAGAATGGAGAATTGAATACAATATAACAAAATGGACAACTAAAAACCTCAACAAGGTGTGACTTCAGAGCACAGCATCTGCCATATTCCTTGTTAGTTATCAATATTTATAGAAATACTTTCTTCATGTACAAAGCTCAAAACCAGTGTGTAGGCTCTGAAATGGTTCTCAAAAAAAAGGGAACATTATTGTTCAGGAAGGAGTCTATTTATCAAAGAAAATGTTTAAATACCTGACTGAATGGTGATACCTAGCATTTTTGGAAATGCCAATACTTGTAGATTTTTCATACTGTGTATGTGTAGCAACTGTGAAAATTGTCCTGTAATATAGAAGTGTCAACCTTTGCACAACTATTACTGTTTTTCATTGTTCTTGACTGAGGCATTTTCCCTCTACAATTTATAATATAATTGATTTATTGTCTGTTGCCAACCAGTTCAGCTCCTAGAAATATGCCCAATGTATGATCTTGTCTCTTCTGAAATCTCATTTCTAGAATCTACTTATTTTACGAAACAGTATATTAGAGTGTCATCAATTTGAAAATATTTTATTAAAATGAAATGCTGGAATACATAATAATCCATGCAAAATGGTTGAATTTATACAAGCTGTTGATAGATGAAACACCTTCATTTTCAACTTTTTCCATGTTTTAGTTATGAATA